GCAGCTCTGCTCCCACGGGAGCCAGGGCACAGCCCTGTTTTGGGGGGCTGCACGCACGCCCCCCACCGGAGGCGTCCCGGGGGGACTCGCGCCTCATTCCTGGGTAGCCCTTCCCGGTCCTCCCCCGCCGGGGCGCAGGGAGGGGCTGTGCAGCACCGTTGTTCTTCCCGTACTCATGCGCGCATCGATCGTCTTCATCTCTGGGATCTTCCTTAGGGAGCGAGGCCAGTGGTAACTGCAGGACGGTTCCCCCTGCCCCCCCCCACACACCGTGGCTCATCTTTGGTCCATGCGGTCCCCCAGGGTGTCACTGGGGATCAGTCCCACGGTGTCACTGGGGATCAGTCCTGGGGTGTCACTGGGATCAGTCCCGGGGTGTCACTGGGGATCAGTCCTGGGGTGTCACTGGGGATCAGTCCCAGGGTGTCACTGGGGATCTGTCCCAGGGTGTCACTGGGGATCAGTCCCACGGTGTCACTGGGGATCAGTCCTGGGGTGTCACTGGGATCAGTCCCGGGGTGTCACTGGGGATCAGTCCTGGGGTGTCACTGGGGATCAGTCCCAGGGTGTCACTGGGGATCTGTCCCAGGGTGTCACTGGGGATCAGTCCCACGGTGTCACTGGGGATCAGTCCTGGGGTGTCACTGGGATCAGTCCCGGGGTGTCACTGGGGATCAGTCCTGGGGTGTCACTGGGGATCAGTCCCAGGGTGTCACTGGGGATCTGTCCCAGGGTGTCACTGGGGATCAGTCCCACGGTGTCACTGGGGATCAGTCCTGGGGTGTCACTGGGATCAGTCCCGGGGTGTCACTGGGGATCAGTCCTGGGGTGTCACTGGGGATCAGTCCCAGGGTGTCACTGGGGATCTGTCCCAGGGTGTCACTGGGGATCAGTCCCACGGTGTCACTGGGGATCAGTCCTGGGGTGTCACTGGGATCAGTCCCGGGGTGTCACTGGGGATCAGTCCTGGGGTGTCACTGGGGATCAGTCCCAGGGTGTCACTGGGGATCTGTCCCAGGGTGTCACTGGGGATCAGTCCCACGGTGTCACTGGGGATCAGTCCTGGGGTGTCACTGGGATCAGTCCCGGGGTGTCACTGGGGATCAGTCCTGGGGTGTCACTGGGGATCAGTCCCAGGGTGTCACTGGGGATCTGTCCCAGGGTGTCACTGGGGATCAGTCCCACGGTGTCACTGGGGATCAGTCCTGGGGTGTCACTGGGATCAGTCCCGGGGTGTCACTGGGGATCAGTCCTGGGGTGTCACTGGGGATCAGTCCCAGGGTGTCACTGGGGATCTGTCCCAGGGTGTCACTGGGGATCAGTCCCACGGTGTCACTGGGGATCAGTCCTGGGGTGTCACTGGGATCAGTCCCGGGGTGTCACTGGGGATCAGTCCTGGGGTGTCACTGGGGATCAGTCCCAGGGTGTCACTGGGGATCTGTCCCAGGGTGTCACTGGGGATCAGTCCCACGGTGTCACTGGGGATCAGTCCTGGGGTGTCACTGGGATCAGTCCCGGGGTGTCACTGGGGATCAGTCCTGGGGTGTCACTGGGGATCAGTCCCAGGGTGTCACTGGGGATCTGTCCCAGGGTGTCACTGGGGATCAGTCCCACGGTGTCACTGGGGATCAGTCCTGGGGTGTCACTGGGATCAGTCCCGGGGTGTCACTGGGGATCAGTCCTGGGGTGTCACTGGGGATCAGTCCCAGGGTGTCACTGGGGATCTGTCCCAGGGTGTCACTGGGGATCAGTCCCACGGTGTCACTGGGGATCAGTCCCAGGGTGTCACTGGGGATCAGTCCCGGGGGAGGACGGCGAAGGAGAGGTGCTGTCGGAAAGAAGCTCATTTGCACAATTAAAAGCCAGAAGGATCAAGCCTCTGTGCAGGTGGCGGGGGGGAAGGCTCCCCACGGGCTCCAGTCCAGACAAGCACAGGGAAGAGGAGGTGGGTTCGACGCCCCGGCCGAGGGGTTCGCTGGATCTCACACTGCACTAGGACAAGCCAGGGGTAAAACCAAAGGTGGGAGCCAGGGAGCAGGCGGGCTGCGTGGGAAGGATCTAAGCGACCCCTTTGTAGCTCTTCAGTGTTGGTTCTATTTATACGAGATTTCATTTCCTTGCTTGTGATGCCTTGTTTTTTGTACAGTTTTATGTACATGCAGGTGTAGCTTTTCTAAAGGAGAAGTCCTATGGCAGAGTAAAGTACCCAACTATTTTTCAGATGGTGACCTATGTCTAAAGCAATGCCTCTTGCTAAGGTTGTATTGCTCTCAATGTGTGATGCATTTCCCTGTGCGGGGAAGGCTTTTGGCCTTGGGCTTGGTTTTCCCCGGGCGCTGTGAGCACAATTGATTCCCTTGTAATTCTTTCTGTTCCAAGCAGTGAGCATGACACCGTCGTGATCCCCTTTCTGTTCTCTCCTGTTCCGTTTGTTTGCTGAGCTGTCAGATGACCAACTCCATTGTAATTAGCCCTTCCTAAAGCTTTACAATAAAAGTGTGAAAACCCGGATGGGCTGAGCCTGACGGATTCTTCCCCGCGTGTCGGATTCTTCCCCGCGTGTTGCATCCATGGGGGTGGCCTGGGGCATCCTCAGGGGAGAAAGGGCATGGAGGCAGAGAAGAGCCGTGGTGGCCGTGGGGACATACCTGCTCCTGCAAGGACCCCTGGCGCGGCTGCTCTTGTCTCCCCGCTCCAGCTTAAGGATGTCTCTGCACAGGTATGGGGAAGGTAAAAAAGCAGTTTGCCACAGCCCAGCCTCCTTTATTTAAAACCAAAAGACCCCTTCAGCCCCAAGGCTTCCTGCCCTTGTGCCTGGCCCCAGCCAAGGGGGGAAGCAGGGCAAGTCCCACCAAGCAGCTCCAGGCTCCCTCCCACCTCCATCACCGCTCCTTCGAGACCTGATGCCATTTCCCACCATTTCACCACCTCCTTTACCAAGCACGCTTGAGGGTTTTTTTTGTTTAGGTAGTTTAGACCCTTTGGAAAGAGCTGGGCCACTTCAACCCGGGGCACATTTGCGGCTGCTCCCTATGGTGGCGGCAGGGTGCTCGCTCCGCCGTGGCTGTTGTGTTTTCACAGAATCCCAGCATGGCAAGGGTTGGCAGGGCCCTCCGCAGCTCACCCAGTCCCACCCCCCTGCTCAAGCAGGCTCACCCAGAGCAGGGGGCACAGGACAGCGTCCAGGCGGGGGTTGAAGATCTCCAGAGAAGGAGACTCCACAGCCCCCCTGGGCAGCCTGGGCCAGGGCTCGGGCACCCTC